AAAATTTCCCCGTAAAGAAAGAAACCCAAAAAATTTTTAATTAAGGCTGATTTAAAAGAAAAATTTGTTTTAAAATTTGGTGGGGAAAATTCTTTAAAGCAAGGTTTTCCCCAAAATTTTAAAAAAAAATTGTCAATTTGAACTTAATTTAAAGGAAAATTTATTTAAAAGCTTTTAAAAAACTTGTGAAAACTGGTACAGTACGTTTTTTAAAAAAAATTTAAATCTTTCTAAAGGGGGTTTTTTCTGAACCCCTTTGGAAAGCCGAAGTAATGAACGAGTTTATAAAAAGAAATTGAGTAATTTTGGGTTAAAATTAAAAAAAATTATTTTTGCTTTTCCCTTTTAAACAGAAAAATACATGCACAGTAAAAGGAATTGTTTAAATTTTTAAATTAAAGGGAAAAAATCAAAAAAAGGGTTAAAAACAATTTCATAAAGGAAGACGTTGACGGCTTCGGATAAAAAAATTTGCAAATTTGGTTAAATTGAACAAAATTTTTCAAAGTAGGGGTTCAAAACGAAAAATATGCAATGAAAAGTTAAAGGAAGTTTTTAGGGTTTTCTAAGTAATCCATTTAAAAGGGGTTCGCCTTTATGCACAATTGTTAACAGCCCGCTTCGATTCCAGGAAATCTTAAAAGGGGGGTTTGTGCACACTTTGGTTAAAACCGGAAAGTTTTAAAGTTCTGGGAAAAAAACAAAAAGTAATATGCTACAGGAAATTTTCAGTTTGTTAAGTTTTTTAAAAGGAAATTTCCTGCAAAAAAGGGGTTTTCCCTGGTTGAAACTCCTTTTAAAAACGCTTGCTTTGGGGGCCGGTTGGAAAAAAATTGTTACACGAAGGTTTTAAAGGGAAAAAGTTTTTTTTGCAAATTTTAAAATTTAAATCGAACAGAAAAAGTATATACAAAGTTAATGACATTTTAATCGGATTTAAAATGAAAGCATTGCATAAAGGTTTCGCCCGGTGGTTAACACAATTTTTAAAAGAATAATTACGATTTTAATAAAAAAAATTTTCCTTTTGAAACTTTTAACGGAAAATTTAAAAGTTTGCAAGGAAAGCAAATTTAAAATAAATAAAAAATATTTTTTTTTTTTTTTTTTTTTTTTTTTTTTTTTTTTTTTTTTTTTTTTTTTTTTTTTTTTTTTTTTTTTTTTTTTTTTTTTTTTTTTTTTTTTTTTTTTTTTTTTTTTTTTTTTTTTTTTTTTTTTTTTTTTTTTTTTTTTTTTTTTTTTTTTTTTTTTTTTTTTTTTTTTTTTTTTTTTTTTTTTTTTTTTTTTTTTTTTTTTTTTTTTTTTTTTTTTTTTTTTTTTTTTTTTTTTTTTTTTTTTTTTTTTTTTTTTTTTTTTTTTTTTTTTTTTTTTTTTTTTTTTTTTTTTTTTTTTTTTTTTTTTTTTTTTTTTTTTTTTTTTTTTTTTTTTTTTTTTTTTTTTTTTTTTTTTTTTTTTTTTTTTTTTTTTTTTTTTTTTTTTTTTTTTTTTTTTTTTTTTTTTTTTTTTTTTTTTTTTTTTTTTTTTTTTTTTTTTTTTTTTTTTTTTTTTTTTTTTTTTTTTTTTTTTTTTTTTTTTTTTTTTTTTTTTTTTTTTTTTTTTTTTTTTTTTTTTTTTTTTTTTTTTTTTTTTTTTTTTTTTTTTTTTTTTTTTTTTTTTTTTTTTTTTTTTTTTTTTTTTTTTTTTTTTTTTTTTTTTTTTTTTTTTTAAGAAATTTAATTTTAAAATTTAAAAAAAATAACCTTTAAAAAATTTGGGGGGTTTAACCCAATTTGTAAAAACCCCCTTTAAAAAAAAAATTGTGTAAATTAAGTTAAATTAAGGGGATTTTAAATTTCCATTTAAAAAGGTGTATCAAAACTTGTTAACAGATCGGTTTTTACATTGGAAAAATAAGCCCTTTTAAACCCCCCTTTTGGAAAAAGCAAGGTTGGCCCCAACTTATAAAAAAAGGGAAATTTTAACTTAAATTGAAGGAAAAAGTTATTTTTGAAAAAGTTATGTCAGGTTTAAAAAAAATTTTTAAAAAAATGATAATGCAATGAATACTATGGAACATGGTATTCAGTTTGATTAAAAGTGCTGGATTTTCAAAAGTGAACATCACTTTGCATAAAGGTTTCCCCCCGGGGTCGCCCCAAAAACCCTTTCGTTAACAGCCGAACCCCTGCCGATTGCGCCCAGGTCTTAAAAGAAAAAAGAAAAATTGATTCAAAATTTTTAAAAGGTTAAAAATTTGGAACGGGGGAAAAAGTTTTTTTTTCAAAGTTTTCCAAAGGTTTTAAAATACCAAACTTAAAAATGATAATGCAATGACATACTATGTGTAACATGGTATTCAGTTTGTATTATACGTGCTGGATTTTCATAAAGTGAACAGCCACTTTGCATAAAAATGGTTTCGCCCCGGGTGGGCTCGAACCACCAACCTTTCGGTTAACAGCCGAACCGCTCCCGGGTTGCCACGGAGGCTCTGTTAAAAGAAAAAAAAAAATTGATGTTCAATCTTTGAAGAGCTTAAAATTTGGAACAGGAAAAAGTTATTATTTGCAAAGTTATGTCTAAGGTTTAAATACCAGAACAGTAAAAAATGATAAAGCAATGACATAATAGGTGTAACATGGCACATTCGGTGTGTATTATACGTACTGAATTTTCATAAAGTATATATATATATATATATATAACAGCCTCTTTTCATTAAAAAGATTTCTTCCCCGGGCTGGGTTCGAACCTCCAACCTTCCGGATAACAACCGAACGCGCTAGCCGATTTCGCCACGGAGACTCATTTGAGCAAAAACGAAAAATTGCTGTCATAATCTTTCATGAGCTTAAAATTTGGAAAAGGGAAAAAGTTATTACTTGCAAAGTTATGTCTAAGGTTTAAAGACCAGAACTGTAAAAAATGATAATGCAATGATATACTATGTATAACATGGCATTCGAGTTTGTATTATATTTGCTGGTGATTTGCACAAAGTATATATAAACAGCCTCTTTTCATTAAAAAGCTTTCGCCCCGGGTGGGCTCGAACCACCAACCTTTCGGTTAACAGCCGAACGCGCTAGCCGATTGCGCCACGGAGGCTCTGTAACAGAGAAAAAAAGAAAAATTGATCTCACAATCTTTGAAGAGCTTAAAATTTGGAACAGGGAAAAAGTTATTATTTGCAAAGTTATGTTTAAGGTTTAAAGACCAGAACTGTAAAAAATGATAATGCAATGACATACTATGTAACATGGTATTCAGTTTGATATCTCGGATTTTCAAAAGTGAACACCCTGCATAAAATTTCCCCGGTGGCTCGAACCAAAACCCGTTAAACAACGCCACCGATTGCGCACAGGTTTTTAAAGAAAAAAAATTGATGTCACAATTTGAAGCAATTTAAAGGGAAAAAGTTTTTTCAAATATTTAAGTTTAAAACCAGAACGAAAAATGATAATGCAATGACATACAAATGTAACTTTCATTGTATAACGTGCTGGATTTTCATAAGTGACACCACTTTAAAAAGGTTGCCCGGTGACTGACCCCCAAACCGGTTAACAGCCGAACGCGCTAGCCGGTGCCGACTCTTAGAAAAAAATTGAAATTTTTGAAGAGCTTAAAATTGAACAGGAAAAATTATTTTGCAATTATGTTAGTTTAAACCAAAACCCTAAAATATAATGCAAGACATATATGTACGGTTTCGTTTATTATACGTGCGTTTCAAAAGTAAAACCCTTTCATAAGGTTCCCCCGGGCTCGAACCACCAACTTTCGTTAACAGGAACGCTATGGACGGTCTGTAAAAAAAAGAAAATGATTCACAATTTTGAAAGCAAATTTGGAACGGGAAAAGTTATTTGCAAGTTATGTCTGGTTTAAAAAACGTAAAATGAAAAACAATGACTATATATTAACATATTCGTTTGTATTATACGTCTATTTTCAAAAATGAATATTTATAAAAGGTTTCCCCCGGGACCAAACCCGGTAACACCAGCGCACCGTTGACGGCTCTTTGAGAAAAAGAGTCAAAATCTTTAGAGCAAAATTGAAAGGAAAAAGTTATTTTGCAAGTTATGTTAGTTTAAAGACCAGAACGTAAAATGATAATGCAATGACATACTAGTGTAACATGGTATTCAGTTTGTATATACGTGCTGGATTTTCATAAAGTGAACACCACTTTGTAAAAGTTCGCCCGGGTGATCGAACACAACCTTTCGGTTAACAGCCGAACGCGCTAGCCGATCGCACGGAGGCTCTTAGAAAAAAAATTGATGTCACAATCTTTGAAGAGCTTAAAATTTGTAACAGGGAAAAGTTATTTTGCAAAGTTATGTCTAAGGTTTAAAGACAGAACTGTAAAAAAGATAATGCAATGACATACTATGTGTAACATGGTATTCAGTTTGTATTATACGTGCTGATTTTCATAAAGTGAACATCCACTTTGCATAAAAAAGGGTTTCGCCCGGGTGGGCTCGAACCACAACCTTTCGGTTAACAGCCGAACGCGCTGCCGATTGCGCCACGGAGGCTCTGATAGAAAAAAAAATTGATGTCAATCTTTGAAGCTTAAAATTTGGAACAGGAAAAGTTATTTTTGCAAAGTTATGTCTAAGGTTTAAATCCCAGAACAGTAAAAATGATAATGCAATGACATACTATGTGTAACATGGTATTCGGTTTATACGTGCTGGATTTTCATAAAGTAACATCACTTTGCATAAAGGTTTCGCCCCGGGTGGCCGAACCACCAACCTTCGGTTAACAGCCGAACGCGCTAGCCGATTGCGCCACGAGGCTCAGTTAAAGAAAAATTGATGTCACAATCTTTGAAGAGCTTAAAATTGTAACAGGAAAGTTATTTTTGCAAAGTTATGTCAAAGGTTTAAATACCAGAACGTAAAAATGATAATGCAATGACATACTATGTGTAACATGTTTCAGTTTGTATTATACGTGCTGGATTTTCATAAAGTGAACACCACTTTGCATAAAAGGGTTTCGCCCCGGTGACTCGAACCACAACCTTTCGGTTAACAGCCGAACGCGCTAGCCGGTGCGCCACGGAGGTCTGTATAGAAAAAGAAAAATTGATGTCAGAATTTTTGAAGAGCTTAAAATTTGGAACAGGAAAAATTATTTTTGCAAAGTTATGTCTAAGGTTTAAATACCAGAACAGTAAAATGATAATGCAATGACATACTAGTGTAACATGGCATTCGTTGTATTATACGTCTGAATTTTCTTTTATATAATATATTATAAACAACCTCTTTTCATTAAAAGATTTCTTCCCGGCTGGGTTCAACCAACCTTCGGTTAACACCGAACGCGCTAGCCGATTTCGCCACGGGCTCTTTGAAAAAAGAAAAATTGTGTCAAATCTTTGATAGCTTAAAATTTGGAACAGGGAAAAGTTATTATTGCAAAGTTATGTTTAAGGTTTAAAGACCAGAACTGTAAAATGAAATCTGACATACTAGTTAACATGGTATTCGTTGTATTATACGTGCTGATTTTCATAAAAGTAACAGCCTCTTTCATAAAAGCTTTCGCCCCGGGGTAAACCACCAACTTTCGGTTAACAGCCGAACGCGCTTAGCCGATGCGCCACGAGGCTCTGTTATGAGAAAAGAAAATTGATGTCACAATCTTTGAAGAGCTTAAAATTTGGAACAGGGAAAAGTTATTTTTGCAAAGTTATGTCTAAGGTTTAAAACCAGAACTGTAAAAATGATAATGCAATGCATACTATGTAACATGGTATTCAGTTTGATTATACGTGCTGGATTTTCATAAAGTGAACATCCACTTTGCATAAAAAAGAATTTCGCCCCCGGGTGGGCTCGAACCACCAACCTTTCGGTTAACAGCCGAACGCGCTAGCCGATTGCGCCACGGAGGCCTCTATAGAGAAAAGAAAATTGATGTCACAATTTTTGAAGAGCTTAAAATTTGTAACAGGGAAAAATTTTTCAAAGATATTCTAGGTTTAAAGACAGAACTGTAAAAGATACAATGACATACAAACATGTATTCAGTTTGTATTATACGGCTGGATTTCATAAAGTGAACATCCTTTGCATAAAAGGTTCGCCCCGGGTGTCGAACCACCAGTTAACACCGAACGCGCAGCCGATTGCGCCACGGTCTGAAAGAAATTTGAAACTTAAAATTTGAACAGGAAAAGTTATTTTCAAATATTCTAGGTTTATAGACAGTAAAAAATATAACAGCATATAGTGTAACTGATTCGTTATTATACGTCTGGTTTTCATAAAGAAAGCCTTTCATAAAAGTTTCTCCCGGGGTTAACCACCTGGTAACCGAACCGCAGCGATTCGCCGGGCCTTTAGAAAAGAATTGATGCCAATCTAGGCAAATTTGAAGGAAAGTTTGCAAAGTTATGTCTAAGTTTAGAAGAAAAAAATGATAATGCAATGATACTATGTTAACATGGATTAGTTTTATTATATGCTGGTTCATAAATAACCCTTTCATAAATTCGCCCCGGTGTCGACCACAACCTTTCGGTAACAGCCGAACGCTAGCCGATTGCGCCACGGGTCTTAAGAAAAAAAAAGATTAACTTTGGGCTTAAAATTTGAACAGGAAAAGTTATTTTTGCAAAGTTATGTCAAAGGGTTTAAAATACCAGAACGAAAAAAATGATAATGCAATGACATACTATGTTAACATGGTATTCAGTTTGTATTATACGTGCGGGATTTTCATAAAGTGAACAGCCACTTTGCAAAAAAAGGGGTTTCGCCCGGTGAAGGCTCAAACCACAACCTTTCGGTTAACAGCCGAACGCGCTACCCGATTCGCCACGGAGGCTCTGTACTAAGAAAAAAGAAAAAATTGATTAAACAAATTTTTTGAAGAGCTTAAAATTTGGAACAGGGAAAAAGTTATTATTTGCAAAGTTATGTCTAAGGTTTAATACCAGAACAGTAAAATGATAATCAAGACATATAGGGCATGGCCATTTCTTGTATTATAAGTTGCTGTATTTTTACAAAATATAAAATTCGCCTCTTTTCATTAAAAAGTTCCGGGGGTGGTTGAACCCCAACCTTTTCCGGTAAAACCGAACCGCTAACCGATTTGCCACGAGGCTCCTGTTTAGAAAAAAAGAATGAATGCTCACAATCTTTAAGAGCTTAAAATTTGAAAAAGGAAAAAGTTATTTTTGCAAAGTTATGTCTAAGGTTTAAAGACCAGAACTGTAAAAAATGATAATGCAATGATATACTATGTTAACATGGATTCAGTTTAATTATTTATGCTGGTGATTTTCAAAAGAAATACCATTTCTTTTCATAAAAAGCTTTCGCCCCGGGTGGGCCCCCGAACCACCAACCTTTCGGTTAACAGCCGAAACGCGCTAGCCGTTGCGCCACGGAGCTTATAGAGAAAAAAGAAAAATTGATTCACAATTTTGAAAGGCTTAAAATTTGGGAAAAGGGGGAAAGTTATTTTTGCAAAGTTATGTCTGGTTTAAATACCAGAACAGTAAAAATGATAATGCAATGCATACTATGTGTAACATGGATTCAGTTGTATTATACGTCTGATTTTTCATAAAGTGAACAGTTATTTTTATAAAAGGGTTTTCGTTTCCGGTGGTTCGAACCACCAACCTTTCCGGAAAACGCCGAATGCTAGCCGTTCCGCCACGGGGCTCAGAACTGAGAAAAAAAAAATTGATGTCTAATTTTTAAGAGCTTAAAATTTGGAACAGGGAAAAGTTATTATTTGGCAAATTAGTCTAAGTTTAAACCGGAACGTAAAAATGATAATAAACGACATACTAGGTTCTGGCCCATTCGGTTGTATTATAAGTGCTGAATTTTCACAAAATATATATAAATTCCTTTTCATTAAAAGATTTCGCCCCGGTGGTTCGAACCCCAACCTTTCGGTTAACAACCGAACGCGTAGCCATTTGCCACGGGGCCCTCTTTTAGAAAAAAGAAAAATTGATGTCAAATCTTTGAAGAGCTTAAAATTTTGGGAAAGGGGAAAAGTTATTTTGCAAAGTTATGTCTAAGGTTTAAAGACCAGAACTGTAAAATGATAATGCAATGACAATACTATGTTAACATGTATTCAGTTTGTATATACTGCTGGATTTTCATAAAGTGAACACCATTTTGCATAAAAGTTTCCCCCGGGTTTGGCCTCGAACCCCCAACCTTCGGAACAGCCGAACGCGCTAGCCGTTTGCCCCACGGAGGCTCTGTAAAGAGAAAAAGAAAAAATTGATGTCACAATCTTTGAAGACTAAAATTTGAACGGGGAAAAAAGTTATTTTTGCAAGTTATTCAAAGGGTTTAAATACAGAACAGTAAAATGATAATCATGACATATAGGTGTAACATGGATTCGGTGTGTATTATATACTGTTTCTAAATAATATTAAAAATTTAAAACAGCCCTTTCTTTAAAAAAGGATTTCGCCCCGGGGGCTCGAACCACCAACCTTTCGGTTAACAGCCGAACGCGCTAGCCGATTGCGCCACGGAGGCTCTATTAGAGAGAAAAAAGAAAAATTGATGTCACAATCTTTGAAGAGCTTAAAAATTGTAACAGGGAAAAAGTTATTTTTGCAAAGTTATGTCTAAGGTTTAAATACCAGAACCGTAAAAAATGATAATGCAATGACATACTATGTTAACATGGATTCAGTTTATTATACGTGCTGGATTTTCATAAAAGTGAACACCATTTGTATAAAAGGTTTCGCCCCGGTGGGTCGAACCACCAACCTTTCGGTTAACAGCCGAACGCGCTAACCGATTGCGCCACGGAGGCTCTGTAAGAGAAAAAAGAAAATTGATGTCACAATCTTTGAAAGCTTAAAATTGAACGGGGAAAAGTTATTTTGAAAGTTATGTCTAAAGGTTTAAAGCCCAGAACTGTAAAATGATAATGCAATGACATACTATGTGTAACATGGTATTCAGTTTGTATTATACGTGCTGGATTTTTTTTTTTTTTTTTTTTTTTTTTTTTTTTTTTTTTTTTTTTTTTTTTTTTTTTTTTTTTTTTTTTTTTTTTTTTTTTTTTCGAAGGTATTATACGCTGGATTTTCAAAAGTAACATCCTTTTATAAAGGTTTCGCCCCGGTGGTCGAACACCAACCGGTAACAGCCAACGCGCGTTCGCACGGGGCTCAGCAAAAAAAAAATGTGTCAAATCTTAAGTTAAATTTGGAACGGGGAAAAGTATTATTGCAAGTTATTCAAGTTTGCGAACTAAAAAATATCAATGCATACTATGTTAACATGGTATTCAGTTGTATTAGCTGGATTTCATGTGAACACCATTTGCATAAAGGGTTTCCCCGGGGGCTCGAACCACCACCTTCGTTAACACAGCGAGCCGATTGCGCCCGGAGGCTCTTTGAGAAAAAAGAAAGTGCCAATTTGGCTAAAATTGGAAGGAAAAAGTATTTTGCAAATTATTATTTAAACCAGAACGTAAAAATGATAATGCAAGACATATGTGTAACATGGTATTCAGTTTGTATACTGCTGATTTTCATTAAACCCAAAAAATTCGCCCGGGGGTCGAACCACCAACTTGGTTAACAGCGAACGCCCCCGGGATTGCGCCACGGGAGGTTAAGAGAAAAAGAAAATTGATGTCAATTTGAAGAGCTTAAATTTGGAACAGGAAAATTATTTCAAATATGTCTAGTTTATAAAACGAAAAATATGCAAAGAATACATTAACATTATCGTTGTATTATACGTCTGATTTTCATAAAGTAAACCTTTCATAAAGGGTTCCCCGGGGGCTCGAACCAAACCTTTGGTAAAGCCGAACCGTAGCCGATTGCGCCACGAGGTCTGTAAGAAAAAAATGTTCACAATCTTTGAAAGCTTAAAATTAAAGGAAAAGTTTTTTTGCAAAGTTATGTCAATTAAAACAGAACTGTAAAATGATAAGCAAGAATATATTTACATGGTTCGTTGTATATATGCTGATTTCAAATAAATTCACCAAAAGGGTTTGCCCCGGTGGTCGACCCAACCTTCGGTTACGCCGAACCCCTAGCCG